CCCCCCACCCTCCCCCTTTTTTTGTTTAGTTGGCATGTTCCGATTCTAATTAGTTCCCACGTCTGGCAATATCACGGTACCACGTAATTGGAATTATTCCACGATAGAACCTTAGGCAGCATATTCCTTAGATTAAGTTCTTGTATTTAAACCTGTACTTTGATGAGTGAATTGTATTTTAGTTTCACTTGTCTTTGTGTTGCTCTTGCATCAATACACGACATTGAAAAAAGTTGGAAAAATGTAATGTTGGAGTAGATCTCAATCTGAATTAGCTTGCACAATACCTTAGTAGCTATCATAGTTCAAAAACAAAAGTTTGTATTCACAGGTTGTTGTCGACAATGGAGTTTGAGAGAGGTAAGTGGTAGGTAGAATTATCCCCATTTTAGAGAGGTAATTTTTGAACATAAACGCATTGTATTGCTTAAACGGATGAACATTTGTCATTATGTTGCAACAAGTTCTATGTGTCACGAGGAGACACCATAGGTCGTGTACTTTTTGGTGGGGTGGAGGGCTTTTGGGAGATGTATTATGGCACAAGTGGTTACTACGATTTTCTATTGGTTGATGTTGTGCATTGCATGTTTTTTTTATATTTGTTTATTTATGGAAGTATAACTAATTGAAAGTTCTTATGAATTAGTTTCAAGAAAGTAAAAATGAAATCAACTTTGTTCTATTTGGAGCATCAAAATGGTTTGAAATCCAACATCCCAATTATCAACTTGCCAAGAAATTTAGAGCATGGTAGGTCAGATCTTAAGGGTGTGTTTGGATTGTATATTAAAAAATAGTATCCAAATAGCATTACTCTACAAGAGCTTAAATTGTGTTTTGATGTTTTTATAATGTAAAATTTGTTTGATTATATGTTTTTAAAAACAGTTTTAAGGAAGAAAAAATAGTAAAATTTGTTTAAATAATGATCCACAAAATAATAAAAATATAATAGAGGTATAAATCCATTCCACACCAACAGATCACCAACAATACCACTTCCTTTGCCAATCACCAACACATATTTTATACACACACACACAAATCAAGTTGCTTTGGAGATCTTTCACGAGAGAGATTTGATCTGCGACGATGCTGAATTCAAAGAGAACGAAACTCAAAAAATGGGTAAAAATACTTTCAACAAAACTTGATGTTTAGATCTCATTAAAGAGTTGTGTTTCACGTGTTTTTCAAATTTTTTGAAAATCTTGTTTGAAAAGTGGGAAAACATGTATATGATGTTCTCAGAATTCAACCTCATTTTCGAAAAAAAAAATTTAAAAACAGCAAACCAAATAGCATTTTTGGTGTTTTCTTGTAGATGAAAACAAAAAACCAATTTTAAAGATACAATCCAAATAAGCCCTTAATTTTCCATTATTACTGATGATGCATAAATTGAGTTTGTACATTACCTGTCAGATGAGCAGTAATAAATATATTAATTAAGAGAGACACAAGCAAGACAAGGTTTATAGTGGTTTGATCAACGTGACCTACGTCCACTTTAAATGGCTAGGATCGTCAGATATTTTATTACTTCAAGTATGTAGGAAGAGTATAGAGTTACAAGCTTTGAGAGGGAGAAGAGAGATGTGTTTAGTTGAATGTGATCTGCCCCCCAAGTGTTGGTGGGGCTTATAATTTATAGTTGCCTCTTCACAGATTGAGGCGACTTAATAATAACTAAATAACTAATTTGGTGGAGTCGACGACCTCTTCTCAACGGATAAGGTAGTTACGGTGTTCTCTATAAGATTCGGTTAAAGGATAAAGTGGTGGTTAACTTCTTTCAATGCAGTGTGGATGAGGCTCTTGGATGACCTTACTCTATGGTGGCTTGAAGGAGGCTCTTGGGATGACTCTTACTCCAAGGTGGCTAAGAGGAGGTTATTGGATGACCCTTATTTAAGGTGGATAGGAGGAGGCTTTTAGATGACCCTTACTCCAAGGTGGCTAGAATGAGGCTCTTAGATAACACTTACTTCAAGGTGGCTAGAAGAAAGCTCTTGGATGACCCTTATTCCAAGGTGGTTAGGAGGAGGCTCTTGGAGACCCTGCTTACTCCCTTGGTAAGCTTGACTGGGTGTTAACTTCTTTGGGCTGGATATGGATCTTTATAATTTTGGACTCTTAATTAAGATTGCGCTTTCAACATGAGTTGGGCCATTTGGGCCTAGTCCGTCATTTGCCCCCTCTAATGCCTTATGTCTAGGGAAACTTGGAGAAGAGGGTATTTGGTTGAACCTTGAACTCTGATTGGTGGAGACTCCTTCTAACTGATGATTCTCCCTCTTCGTGATATATCTCACATCTGCAAAACATCTCAAATCTCAAGACCTTCCCCATTTTTATTTGGGCTCTAGAAGAACTTTTGGCTTTAAGTAAGGACTGGAGCTCCTATGGGCACTGTTGAGGCCGAGAGGCTCTTAGATCTGAATTTGATTTGTGGGGGCAAGGCACCAAGGGCGAGCCTAGCACTTGGCAAGCTCCATTAGGCAGAGGTTTCCATGGGCGAGCTCTAGTGAGGAGGGTCTCCTGCGGGCAAGCTCTACTGAGAAAGGTCCACCACAGGCGAGCTCCACTGGGCGAGATGGTATGGTGGGCGCCAATGCTTGGGCATCGGGAGGCGAGCCATGTAGCGATGATGGTGGGCGAGCAGGCCATGCGCGCAGGAAAGTGGCTGCGCTGTCTGGGCGCACAGGAGGGGTTGCTACGCTGCACTGGTTGGGCGCACTGGAGAAGCTGCTACGCTGGCTGGGGGCGTAGGAAAGGCTACTACACTGGCTGGGTGTGCAGGAGGGGTGTTGGGCAAGCCTGGCGAGGCGCTGGGCGTGGCGCAGTTAGCCATGGGTACTTGGTGCAATCAAGCATTGTTTGCGCTAGGTGCTAAGCGCTAGAGAACTGCGACAACGAGGCGACAGTGCTAGATGGGCACAAAAAGGTTGAGGCCGGTTGTTGATATTCAACCTAAAATGTAGTCCCAGACAACCGGAGTTTCAAAAGCCTGTCTAGAGATGACAAAAACAATATTATTCCAAACACTAAAATATCTAACATGATTACCTGGAGAGAGAAGCAGGCTGCTTGCGCAAAAGTATAGACAGAGCTTGAGGATTGCTCATGAGAAAGCTACACCTCTTCAGATTGAACTTTTTGACGACCCATGAAAGCCCTTAAGCTGGAGGTATAGGTTGTGTCTACTTGAGAGAAGAATAGAAATAGGTCAAGCTTTTGGCAACTCGCGAGAGAGCCGTTCAACTAGTGATATAGGCCGCCTGCTTGAGAGCAGGAGCAGAGATAGGCCAAATTTTTGATGACCCGCGAGAGAGCCGCTAAGCTGGAGATGGGCTGTTTATTTTAGAGAAAAACAGAGATAGGCCAAGTTTTTAACGACCCATGAGAGAGTTGCTAAATTGGAGATAGGCTGTCTGTTTGAGAGTAGAGCAAAGATAAGCCAAGCTTTTGGCGACCCGTGAGAAAGCTGCTAAGTTGGAGATAGGCTACCTGCTTGAGAGCAGAGCAGAGATAGGCCAAGTTTTGGCGACCCATGAGAGAGCCACTAAGTTGGAAATAGGCTGCTTGCTTGAGAGCAGAGCAGAGATAGGTCAAGCCTTTAACGACTTGTGAGAGAGTCGCTAAGTTGGAGATATACTAACTCTAGGGCAACCCGCATGAGAGTAGAGGCAGAATTTAAGGGTTAGCCCATGGGAAGGTCACCAAGCCAGAGTGTAACGCCCTGGTTTTTTGGACTTGTTACTTGATTAA